ACGTATTCAATAAGTCGACTTTCGATTCATTCTCGGCCTACCATGTCACATCCCAGTCTCGACTCCGTCGTAGCATGATATTGTCCGCTTTAGGCCCTGGCCATGCCTTCACGGTTTTGTTTCTGGGAACTCACATGAGAACTTCCCAGTAGGTCACCCATCCTGGGATTGCTCTCGCCCGAACTCGCTTAACTTCAGAGTTTCGATGGAACCCGAAACCAGTAAGTTCCCAAAAGGCCTTGTGTTATAGGGAGAAGAGCATGTACATATAAGGCACATCACCCCCTTTTCATTGGTCGATGTGGGATGTTACAATCCACCCTCATCAGGGGCCCGACGTCCTCGTCGGCACACTCGCACCACACGGCAGAATGGTTGATGCCGACGAGGACGTCGGGCCCCTGATGAGGGTGGATTGTAACATCCTACATCAACCAATGAAGAGGGGGTGATGTGCCTTATATGTACATGCTATTCTCCCTATAACACGAGGCCTTTTGGGAACTCACTGGTTTCGGGTTCCATCGAAACTCTGAAGTTAAGCGAGTTTGGGCGAGAGCATTCCCAGGATAGGTGACCTACTAGGAAATTCTTGTGTGAGTTCCCAGAAACAAAACCGTGAGGTTGTGGTCAGGGCCCAAAGTAGATAATATCATGCTATGGCGGAGTCAAGACTTGGATGTGAGCTACGCCCTTACAGTTTTGTTTTCTGGGAACTCACATGAGAATTTTCCAGTAGGTCACCCATCACGGGATTGCTTTCGTCTGAACTCGCTTAACTTCGGAGTTTCGATGGAACCTGAAACCAGTGAGTTCCCAAAAGGCATAGTGTTATAGGGAGGGGAACATGTAGATATAAGGCACATCACCCTCTCTCCGTTGGTCAATGTGGGATGTTATATACCAACCTATTCATCCTTCTGCATCATTTTCAAAGAACTATTTGTCAAACTCGTTTCAGTTTCTTTTTATTTATTTTAGTTTTATTCGCGCACTAGGTGCAGAATCAATTCTTTCAGTGGTCCCGGGTCCGGGGCGTGACAACATGATTGATTGAAAATCTAATCGAAATCTTGGCTAAATTATTATAAACAGATAGTGACACATGTCACGTCAAAATTGGTTAAAAATCTTTTCGTAAATCTATCCACAAAATAGTATGTTCGAATAATGACATATGGCGTGACAAGATTGGTTGAAAATATGATCGAAATCTTGGCTAAATTATTGTAAATAGATAATGACACGTGGGTGTTGGGATTGGTTGAAAATATTATTGGAAATCTATCCATAAAATAGTACGTTCGGATAATGACACGTGGCATGACAAGATTAGTTAAAAATCCATTCCGAAATTAAAACCATTTTTTTATATTTTATATATAAAAAATTAATAATATTTAAATGGACTGGGTGTCATCACATTTTTTTAGGGTGGAGATGCATTTGTGCTAGCTCATGTTTTTAGGGATGGAGATGCATTTGGCCAATTACTATTCATTGGGGCCAATCACTATTCATTTGAGTGGATTAAATGGGCTGGGTTATGGGTGGGCAAACAGTTCCTGGATCTGCGAGGCTGGCCAGTTCCTTGCAGTTCGGGGCGGGTCCAAAAATTAAAAATACAAAACGGGCCCGGCCGAGCCGGTTTCTTATAAATAACGAGGTGGGCCGGTTCCAAAAATTAGAAACAACGGGACCCTAGTCCGGACCTTTCATTGCATTAGTGATCTGCCCTTTATTATTACCCATTTACACATTCTCTCTTGTTCTCACTCTCAGGCCCAATTCACACTCAAGCCCTCACATTTTCTATCCCGAGTCGCCGTTCAACTATCCCATCACCCTTTCTCTCTTATTCTTACTCTCAGACCTCAATCTCAATCTCGATCTCCTCCCTCTCAATCTCTCTCTCTCCCACATTCTCTCTCTCTTTTTCCGGGTGTTTTTGTCTCCGATAATGCACATTCGTCAGTTTTCGCTCATTCATGAACCGTAGATCGCCCGACGGGAGCTCGTTCAAGAGGTTTCGGACGCAATGGAACGAGCAGAAGATCTGCGAAGGCGAATTCTGTGAGCGGGTCTAGTTCGAGTCGGGCTTGGCCGAGACGAGGTCCTGGAGCGATTTAAGGATGGATTTGAGGAAGGCAACAAGGAGAACCGAGTCTGTATAGGGATAACGTGGTTGACGGTTGGGATGAGACGAGGTCCTTTATGCTTCCAGTCTTGTGTTTGAGCTGAATCTGCACTGGATTGCTAATTGGATGTGATCTATGCAAAACGTGTGCAAATGTTGAATTGAATTTGTGCAACTGAATCTGTGCAAAATTGTGCAAATGTTGAATCTGTGCAAAACTGCGTTATGGTTTTTTTTTAAATTATATATAACCAAAAAAAAAAAAAAACCAAGAACCCATGGACCCGACCCAAACAGGCCCGTTTCAACCGGGCCGGATTAAGTCCGGTTCTTATATTACAAACTGCTATCCCCAGCCCAGCCCATTTCCTATTCACACAGGTCCGGTCCGGTCCGGTCCCTCCAAAAATGGACCCAACCCAGCCCGTGCCCACCCTTAGGTTGGGTACTAGCGTATTTTTAGGAGTGGACTTCGTCAACTAACAAAAGAGTGAAATTCATTTACAAAGTATAACTTATGTTTAAATCGAATGGATTGTTATGTATGGTAAAAAGATGCCATATTTGACTAATATGACATGTTTAGGAATTTAATCACAATCAAAGCATCACACACAACGCAAGTGGTCCTTTACTACAGTGGTGATAAGGTGTTGAGTCATTACATAACAGCGTAAATTCGAACCCCGTCGATAGCTAATCTAACATCTAATCTAACAAAATTTATAGTTCAACAAGAAACAAAGCATCACACACAACATACGCTAACATATTCCAAAAATTTATATAGAAAAGGAATTAGATAAATAGTTGAGACAATGTACCGTAAAAATAAAAGATATGTTAAAACTTGAATCGAACAGAAAAGTAAAGTATATGTAGCTTTTCTTTTCTACCTCATTTTTACTAGTCTTGACTCTTAATATTTCTTATTGCTTAAGTAAATTTTGTTTTGGTCTATTAAGCGAATTAAGTATTAGCAGCCTATCTTAAGAAAAGCCAGAAGAGGTTAAGGAAGAGATTACCATAAATTTAGGCCATGTGAAAGTGCTGGAAAGACGGGTCATATGCACAAGGACAAAGCATTAAAAATCCGCCGCACGATCCAAAATCCAGACGCAAGTGATGCCAAACTTTAGGATGTATATTTAAAAGAGCGTTTTATCTTTGCAGCTCAAATATTTGCGTCTGAATCTTTCTCCATCAATATTTCTTACTCATATGATAAAAAAAAATAAAAAATAAAAAAAAATAAAAATTAATGAAAATAGTTTGAAAACTTTGGGTTTTAACGATAAGAACAAAATAAAGGGTAAAGTGAATAGTATTATGATTGATTTTTTAGTGTAAAAATGTGATTTTTCGTTAAAATGAACAGTACCGTGAGTTTTTCGTTAAAGTTCTCCAAAAAAAATATTCAAGAAATACAAATTTGAATCAATAAAATACTATCACATCATTTCTTGAAATCAATAGAGAAGACTAAACAAGGTTAAAAGTTTAAGGAGAGGATCATTGTCGGATCCTCTTTGTGCTCGAAGATTCTTCAATCATAGCCGTTCATCATATATTATGTGATCAATTTTCATCAAATATTATTTATATTCAATTTTAAATAAAAAAACTTACAATAATTTACAATAAACGAATGTAATTTAAGAATTTTTACGAATAATATCCAGCGAGAATCGTCACTCAAAAGTTTAAATTAGGTGAGGTTAGTCGCATTGCGATTGTGGGGGCCATTTCAGTGAAAAACTGAGCAGAATTTTGGTGGCTTGCCGAACTTTGAAATTTATTGTGCCCTAGCCTCTAGGCCTGCAGTTAATGTGGTAAACCATCTAATTATTTGCCATTTGGTCTCAGCCTGCCTACTTCACATTCTTCCAAGAAAAATGGGATTAGCGTGCCCAATTTATATGTTTTAGTCAAAGTCAGTCTTCAATCCACCCTGTTTGTCTGCTGACTTCGTCCATGCCACGAGAACTTATGTCTAACCTATGGGGGCCAACTAATTCAATTTTTCTTGGAGAACTTATAGAATTAACGTGACACATATTTGATTGTTGCATAAAATTTGGCAGTTATGTGAGCCAATTAATGCTTGTAAATACTTAAGCCTATTCAAATATGTACCTGCACTTAGGGTTCTTTTGTTGGGTTGAATATAATTGAACTTGTTAAGTTTTGTAAGGCATGACTTGTAATACATCTGTCTAACTCACAATTTGACATAACAAACAATGGATTTGACTCAAGTCTATTTTAATTAGCCATGAACTATCACAACCATCCCACCAAACAGGCCCGAGTGTCTATAGATACCTTAACCGCAACTTATTAGCATGTCAAAATCATGATTATGCATGAGAGTGAGTAGTTTGATGGGTAACTTAGGACATGGATCACGAGCTAAAAAGTAAATGTGAAAGCTTAAACCTTACAATTTGGATCATGTGGGTTGTGAATGTGAGAAGCATGGTTCATGCATGTCCGTATCTTGTAGTTTAAAACAACTTTTACATCACATGCCACTTACTTACAAACGAAGGTAAGGCAAATCTACACTCTTGACGCTTCGCATCCGCGAATGCCATTTTCACAACAATTGGTTTGTGACTACAAAACCGAGGCAAATATGACCCCCATAGCAAGTTAAATCGCCACAACTTTTTTGCCTTTCCTTTCAAGGCGGACTTTTATCCTTCGAAGGTTTTTTTCATTCGTTTGAGGAAATACGCACAAATAGAACCGATGGGATCTGACAACTCCCACCGGTACTGAAACAAACAAAACAACCCGAAAAAGCAAATCAAAATTCCAACAAGAGCGACCAAAAACGAAGACTAACTCACAACCAGTCTACAGACAAAGAATCATTTGTTACCTTTAACTTGAATATACCGATTCATATTCTTAACAGATGTAATTTGAGAAAAATAGCCAACAATACTTCATTCAAAAGTAATTAGTAAAGGAGTATTACACAATGTTCTACCATCCGAACAAACAAAACTGACTCGGCTTAAAACAAATGCATCTAACTTCGCTCATAAAAACGTGAAAGTAGACCCCTTCAAGTGTCCGATCTCTATCATCTAGAAGTCCAGAGCAACTGCAAGGAAGAAATGGGCATGAGATTAGAACCAGGGTAAGAAGAATATATTACAGAAGCAATAAGAACAACGGAATAAATAAAACTAAAAAATAAAAAAACTGAGCACATAGTTGCACAAATAGTCATATGAAGATCGATGTGACATGCATCATGAATACAAGACATTAAAACATTGAGCATTATGAACTTCAAAATGGAGCTCGAAACAAAAAAAGCGAAGTATGCATTACTGCCAACTAAACTTCTTAGACCTCCTCTAAAATTACAAACATTGAGCATTATGATAGAATACCCTGCATAATTCTGATTACAAAGCAAAACTTTCACCGTGGACAAATAAGTTTTTAATCCCAATACAAGCTCATATACCAGAATTTTTATCCCATCGAGACAAGAAATAGATGATAATTAAAAAAATGCCGTAAAAGGGCCCAACGGAAGAAACCCAAAAGATAACTGTATAGTTGTGCGATGTATCAAATATCAGTCAACATTTGGAATGCAAACAATAAAAAAGTTCACAATGAACGGAAATAACATACGAAGGGAGTACTTGCTTGGCCATGTAAAAATGAAGGTACCATAGCCGGAAGTTCACAAATAACAATTAAAACAGCCATTAAACAAAAGTGTAAATCTTTATTGGAGTATTCGAAACGATCCTTAAGATAACAATGCACTCCCTACAGTACACCGCACAAGCTCATTGCCACAAAAACACACGCCTGAATGTCTAACAAAGGTAAAAGGCTCATGCTGAAGTTGCATATCGAACCACATTGTACGAGCAAAATCCACAACAATAAAGTGAAACTTTTATAAATAAACATCCATGCCCTGCGCAACAAAATACGTACTCCATATAAATAACAGTGAACCAAGACAATTAAGCAAAGTGAGTTAAAAAAATGTACCTTAAAAGGCTTAGATATTGCTGGGGTACATGAACACCCTCACCCGAGCACCCTGCAAAGAAACACAAACGAGCTCAATCAAAAACCGATTACAACAAAAAGAAAAAACAGCATACATAGCACAAAATAATTCTAATAAAACACAATACCATGGACTTGGGGGGCAAGTTGGAAGTGAACTTAGCACGAACGACGCCACTGTTACCATGAGGCCTCGATACCTTGCCCCAAATGCAGCGGTAGTGGCTGCCATTGGTCTTCACCTTGGCCTTGTAGATATAGGCCAACCGCTTCCCGGCATACCACGCCACCTCCTCTTTGGTGTTCACTCCCTCAATCTGAATCAGAGAGGTGTTCGGGTACTGGTTCGACTTAGATCTAACCCAATAACAATCAGAAACTCAAAACCCTAGCCTCCATTTAGATCAAAACACCAAAAAAAATTTTTAAAAAAAATCTCCATTTCATTGATTTATCAGTAGAAGATTAATTGCAGAAAGAAAACACAACAAAATCAATAAAATTAATTACCTCTTGTATCCGAGAACGGTGCCCCTGACGTAGAGTCTGATGTATGAGAAATTACAGTGAGCAAAAGATTAGAAATCGGAAAACATGTAATCGCATTAACATGCTCAAAAATTAGGGTTTTGGGTTTGGGAAGAAATGGATCAACTTACCGAATTCGCTCTCCTTGGCGTCCCTTTACCATTTTTGCGATTGGGGTTTATGTGTGTACAGCGAGAATCACAGACGCCTACGAAGGAGAAGCACTAAAACCCTAATTTGGTTGGAGGAAATGATTATGGTATTTATATAAAATGGGTTTGAAGTTGTATGTGGGCCTATTGAAAATTATCAGAAAGCCCAAAGGTTGAGATTTGCCTTAATTTATGTTCATTTTGTTGGGAAGAGATATTTCTTTCACTTTTGCTCTTTAGCTTTTACTAATACTACAGCCTAGTATGATTCATCTTTATATGTATATGAAAGGTTATAGGTTTGACTCTTGCATGTGGCTGATTCAAAATCTACTTATGATTGGTTTATTGTGTACCTCTCAATATCATTTCATATATACAAAATTAAAAAGAGAGTAGTACGTGAGTGAACCATAGTTGATCACAATCAAAGATCTTCTTAGGTTTATGCTGACTGTCAAGTCTAGTATTCCTATACAGAAGAAGTCATTGATGGCTACTGCTGCATTTTCATCATCCATTGCAAAACTTGTAGCCAAAGTAGCCTCCTCCTCATATTCAAAAGTGCCACAGCTTCCTTTCCTAATTCCAATCGCGCAAAAAAAAAAAAAAATATGGTAGAAAAAAAATAGAAATTTAGCATTGTCATATAAGTTTTCAAATTACTATTTGATATTTATATTTTGATATCCCCATTGGAGTTGCTATTAGGGGTTGTTTGAGATCCTCTTGAATATTAAGTAATTTAACTACATTTATCATTTTTTAAAACAAAATATAAGATTTTGCCTTTGTTCTCTTAATGTTTTGGTTTGCTTGTACAAAATGTGTGGTGCATTGCATGCTTAATTTTTATTTATATCCTAGTCTCTTGTCACATGCTTACACATGTGGCAATAGACATTTATATGTAAAATTTAAAAAGGTTTTTATGTTAAAAAAAATGATTTAAGAAATTAAGTATATTTATTTATATATATTTTGTAAAAAAATATTCAAAATGAAAATTGAAGTCCATGGACCATTTTGATATTTATTTTCTTAAGTTATAAATTTAATGTGTTGAATTACTCACGCTTTCTAAATTAATTGTAATTTTTGGGATTTTTGAGGGACCATTTGTGGTATTTTAATTTTTAATTTTTTTGAAATTTTAGAGTGCTTCCTTTATATATAAAGAAGAAATTATTTAGTTTTGCATTACCAACACGAATTAAAAATAAAAATAAAAAATAAAAAATCACAAACACAGAGCTTCATTCGCCTTATAATTCGTTCCCACTTATTTTCCAACGGCATTAAAATTTTACAAAACAAAAAGCAATTAATCAAACATGGACGTTACTTCCTCCCACTAACCCCCCCTCAATCCAATCCCACCTCCCATTTCCTTCTCTGTCTTTACATTACTTTGCCTTTCCTCTGTTTCTCTTTTCCTATGTCAAAATCCACTAATGATCACAACTCATGCGCTAGGTCGAGGCGGCGACATTTCGAGTCCACAGAGGAGCAACCGGACCCTTTCGTCAAGCCCCACGATGCCAGCGTTCACGCCGTGTTTATTCGCCGCCGGGTGAGAAAGTTGTCCGAATTCTCAAGTGGGTGGTGGTGCAGATGGACTTCAATGGTTTTGATGGGTTTGGCCTTTTTGTCATTGTTGGCCAAGTTTGCCTTGCTGAACATGTTTCCAGAGTTGAGGGTGATAGAGAAAATAGGTTTGATTCGGCCTTCGCTGCTCGAAAAATCCAGGTCAGATTGTTATTTTTTACTGCATTATCCAATAAAATTTTAGGATTTATTCTCTTGCACCTGAAATTATGATCCCATCTTGTATTTGATTTCTGCTAGTCAGACTCTTGATATTTGGACGCCACCAGAGAGTTATAATTACTACCAATGCATAACTCGAGCGAAGAAGGAACTTCGTACGTTTCAAAAGTTTTCTTCCGCAACAAGTTAGCTAATCATTACCATGAATGTACAATTTTGATCAAGTTACAAGTTTGGTTTCTTGCAGTAAACGGAACAACCACAAACGGCTATCTCTTGGTTCGTTCCAACGGCGGATTAAATCAAATGAAGCTCGGGGTATGCAACTAATTGAGCTAAGCTTCTGTGTTTTTGGATTTGCCTATTGAGCGTATAGTTATTTTTCTTAAGGCTTCTTATGAACAAATTGAAATTGTAGATAACTGATATGGTAGCAATAGCAAAACTTATGAATGCCACTCTTGTCCTCCCTTCTTTGGATCACCGATCCTTTTGGACTGACCCAAGGTTAGCGCCGTATTAACTTACTGAGTATTTCATTTTGTATAACATCCCTCTTTCTCTTTTAAATTTGACCTTTTTTTCTTAGTGACTTTAAAGACATTTTCGATTGGAAGAACTTCATGGAAGTTTTGAGAGACGATATCGTGATTGTTGAGTCTCTCCCACCGGAGTTTGCAGACGTGAAGCCCCACCTTAAGAATCCGGTGTCTTGGTCAAAGGTACGATCAACATTGTTAGTACCCTTTTCGACAAATTCAGTGGGATTTGAATCTAACAATGTGTAACAATTTGTGACCAGTCCAGTTACTATAGACTACAGATGGTAACATTGTTGAAGAAGCACAAGGTTGTCAAATTTACCCTCACAAATTCCAGACTTGCTAATAATATTGGTAGCTCGATCCAAAGGCTCCGCTGTCGTGCCCTTTATAAGGCACTAAAATTTGCAACTGAAATCGAAGAGCTTGGGATGAATTTGGTTGATAGATTAAAGAATAACGGTAGCAAATACATTGCTCTCCATCTAAGGTTTGTCTAATGAATTTTTAAAAATTGATGTTTAACATATTTTTTCTGTCTAAGAAAGGTTTCTAATCAGAATGTTACAATTGCTCAGATATGAAAAGGACATGCTTTCTTTCACAGGCTGCAGTCACAATCTCACCAAACATGAAGACAAAGAACTCAAAAGGATAAGAGGGCAGACGCCGCACTGGAAGAACAAAAAGATCAATGGCACGGAGCAGAGACTGTTAGGGCAATGTCCTATGACCCCAAGAGAGGTTACTCTTTTCCTTGAGGCAATAGGGTTTCCTTCGGATACGAAAATTTACATAGTTTCCGGTGAGATCTATGGGCAAGACGGGCTAACAACATTGCAAGCCAAATATCCGAATCTATTTTTCCACTCAAATTTAGCATCTGAAGAAGAGTTGCAACCTTACAAGGAGAAGCTCAATCAGCTTGCTGCTTTGGACTATATTATAGCAGTTGAGAGTGACATTTTCATCTACTCGTATGAGGGAAACATGGCTAAAGCAGTCAAAGGCCACAGAAGATTTAACGGGTTTAGAAAAACAATCAGCCCTGACAAGTAAGCATGATTCTTTGCCGAATATTCTAAACTGACTCGAGCTCTATCTAACGAGAAAAACTTACCTATCACATGTTACATACCTCCTCCCAACATCTGTCTCGTCGTATGGTGATGCGATGATAGAGAAAGAAAGGGAGAGGTATGTAACATGTTTTATTGGGAGTTTCGTATCTGACACACTGGATGTTACTTGCCTTGCAGACAAAGATTTGTGAGATTGATTGACAAGTTGGACAAGGGTGCGATATCTTGGAAAACATTCTCGTTGAGGGTTAAGAGGTTACACGAAAATCGGATCGGAGAACCGTATCCCAGAGTGCCAAGAAGTTTGCCTAGACTGGAGGAGAACTTTTATGCAAATCCATATCCAGGTTGCATTTGTGAAAAGCCCAAAGAGCCAGCTTCATCACTAGCAGGGAGAAATATGTTAAAAGGATTAGGGTTTTGAGAGTGGCTTTTAGCTGTAAATATTCATTCAAAATACATTTTTCTTTAGTTAATGTACACACAAAGTGTATCATGTTTGAAGACAATTGAAAATTTAGATTTAGCGATGTTTTTCCCTTTGTCCAATTATTGTATGTTACACCTTGAGCGGTTCTAATTATAAACCTAGAATAGGTGATTTTCACGCTCTCGTATTTTCCGTTTGCAGTTTTACCAGTTTCTCTTCTTTTATTTTCATTTTATTCATTAAATCACCAAATCACAAAAATAAGTGTGAGAATTGCAACATTGGAAATGGGAGTTCAAAATCGGCACCATAATCTTTTATTAGAAGACGATATTCTTAGTTACCGTAAATTTTGAGATATTCAAACTTAGATGTACAAGACGAACACAATTCAATTAGCAAACTGTCTTACATCCCTAAAACTTTACACACGGAAAACAAATGCAATGACAATTACTACAGGGCCCACTTTGATCTGGGCCCAAACATGGTGATCCAGCAAGAAGGCTCAAACAGCCCAAGATTAAATTAAACTTGCAACAAAATAATAATAAAATTTAAAAAAATTAAAGAAAAGGAGAAAAAAGAAGGGCACTTTCTTCTTTGTTCCTGGAGGCTTGGTTGTTGGAACTTGGAAGCCTTTCGATTTAAGCCTTTTTCCACCGCCAAGACCCTCTCTCTGAGATCAGGTACCCGCATTCAGGTTAGTAACAAGGGTTTTCAATTTCTCATAACATTCATAATTCGCAAGCTAAATCTCCCTACTTTTCGTGTTTGCCATAGCTGGGTTATTCTTGGAACTCCAGATTCCATTGAAGCTTCCTGTTCCTGGGTTTAAGTTTATAAGTTTACAGCTTATATCTCACATGGGTATTCTTTATTTTCACCTTTTATGCCTATATTTACATGTGTTTTGAGGTTTTACCTCACTATTTATGAGAGGATTCGATTTGCCAGGTTGCTTTTTTTTTTTTTTTTTTTTTTTTTTTTGGAAGGGTAGGGTTGGGGGGGGGGGGGTAAAGGATTCTTTGGTTTTGCATATCCATTTCTGGAAGGGACGTGTTTGGTATTTTGGGGTTGTTTTACTTTGAGAAATTGTGTATAATTCTCCTTAATTACTGGTGTTGCTGTGTTAGAATGCCACAACTTTTCATTTTCTGCAAATGGGATTTGTTTTGTGGGTGATTAGGCTGGTTATTGGACCTTAAACTAGTTTTCACCTTGGGAACGAATCTCAGTAGCGTAACCGATAACTGATTGATCTAAGATCTGGTTAGTGTGAGTGCAAAATAACCGATAACTGATTGATCTAAGTCCCAATCATTTCAAGAATTTCATGTATAGTTTAGGAAACTCGGAAAGCACGCAGTTAGTGCTCTGCTGATGCGTGATTGGCCTACACAATCTAAAACTGATGTCTTGGGGGTTGCATTGAAACAAATCATCCCTGGATACTGTCCTGCCTGTTTGTGCTGAAACAAGTCACCCAAAAGTGCAAATGAATGTGTCTTTGAGATTTTGGCAACTTCATTATACATGTGGAATTAATTTTTCAGAGAACATTCTTTTGAATTCGGGCGCAGGCAGTGGAGTTGCTGAACTGTTTTCCATTCTATCACTTACATATTAGCTCACATGACATGAATTCTTCACTTTTCAGATAAATGGGTTTGGGGACGCTACTTGAAGGCTTTCTGCTTCTTGCGAATGCATTAGCAATATTAAATGAAGACCGTTTCCTTGTGCCTAGGGGATGGAGCCTCTCAGAATTCTCAGTGGGCAAGACAAAATCAGTGAAGGGACAGATTATAGGTCTCATTTATGCAACACAGTACTTGAGAGTTCCTCTCGTACTACTCAATACTGTCTGCATCGTTCTAAAATTGATATCTGGATGATGCCAAATGAGGTCAGATATAGATCTATGCCTAAGGGATAATATCTTTTTTTTTCTTGTTTGAGTTTGTTCGTGAAATATTGTAAGATAATTACGGAGTTCCTACCTTGCTCTTTTGTTTTCTGCTTCTGTTTTTCCTTGTATCACTTTGTCCAAACAAACTTACTCTTGAGCTTTCACTCTGGTGAGGTTTGTTTACAGCAGCGGTGATGTTTATATTTTAGCATTCTTATCCACACAGTTAATAGCTCCTGGTTGATGGAGTAGTAGCAGTTGATTTTGCATAACATATTTTATGACATGCATGGCTTCGCTCTACAACGATAAATGCAAACTGAGCAAGAGAAAAATTGTTATTTTACCTCTATATTTCGCACTGGAATATTGTTGAAACATGTAGGTTTAATGTTTTGATTTCTCTCTTTAGGAGAGTTTCTAGTTTGACTGCTCTCTATAGGAGAGTTGCTTCATTTAATTTTTGTTTTGGTGTGCTACACCTCTTTTGCATCTATGAGTGAAGGGTGGAGCTGTTTGATTTGCCCGATCTACTTCACTTGGTGTTTTGGGATCGTGGCGGTGATTAGATGATACGATTAGACCCGTGGGCATCGTACTCCGTGTCCCAATATATGATTTGAGCTTTTTGTTCTCACACGCGGTTTAACTGTTTTATTGATCTTTGTTATCTTGCGGTTCCCAATGAGCTCGGACAAGTACTTCATCTCTACTTATCGCTTTGCGATTGTTGATGCTTTATTGTAATTAATCTATATCTAGTTTGTAAGGACCCTTTAGGGGCCGAGTTCTTCATGATATGTATTTGTAATGTCTTTTATTTCAATTAAAAAAAAAAAGTTTAGTAGCGAAGTAATTTAACGTCGAGACCTGAGCCTGACTTGATTCTTTTATGTGCTTGATATAGAAACTGCTAATGTTCATGGTTTCATCCATTCTGAAACTTTTTTTTTTGCTGATTTTGGACGGTTTCAGGTTAATTGATCCGAAGATTCATCGAATTGATATCGGGAATCTGCAAAATCGACTCTCGTTTCTTGGAAGGTTGAAGTATTAGGTTGATGGATATTGTTTCAACATTGTATTTTGAAGTAGTTCATGTTCCTCGTTGTTCAGAATCTATTTGATTTTAGATAGTAATTGTTTGCCAACATATCGATTGTGCGCATTTTAAGGTCACTCAGGATCGCTCTCTGCCGTTGTGCGTATGATACCGGAAACATATATTTATTAATGCCAAATTGCACTAAGAGTTCCTATACTTTACTCAAATTTTCACTACCGTCCCCATAATATTTTTTGTTACATTTTTGTCCATATAAATTTCGTTTTGTTTTTATTTTAGTCACATGTATCAGCTAATTGATTTCCATTCGGTTTTTTGCACATCTCGTTTGGAAACCCAGGACGGACAAAGGTGAAAAGTTACGTAAACTACGTAGACTATTAGTGTAAATCAGCCAACAAATTAACTATGCTTAAGCCGTGGAGAACAAAAGGCATCTAAATGCCAAAAGCAAATTTAATACAATTGAAGGATCGAATGGCAAAAAAAATGAAAAAAAATTGGAGAAGAAAATTAATCATAGATCAGCAAATACATGGTAAGTTAAATTTAATACAATTGAAGGATCGAATGGCAAAAAAAAAATTAAAAAAAAAAAGGGGAAGAAAATTAATCATAGATCAGCAAATACATGGTAAGTTTTGGAATCTACGGCTATGAGCCTCAAGGACGAAACGAAAGCTGCGACAGCCATAAGGGCAAAGAAGCCAACATTCAGCCAATGCCAGCACTTCTGTGCAGAAGTCAGCGTCTCCTTCTTTGCCACCAAATACATGTGGTTTGCAAGGATAAATGTGAGGGGGAATGTGCTGATGGCTCCTGTGAGGCTCATGAAATCTCCGAGGAAGGGCAGCAGAGCCGAAAGCAGCGTGTTAATCGCTAGGTAGCCGCCTCGAACGGTGATTCTGAATGTCAAGTTCTGAATTTTCAGTGGACTTCCTTTGATGCCGAACTTCGTATCCAGATATTCATACATTGGACTTGCAAATATCTGCAAATGCAGAAGCATAAAAGCTTGTTGGGTTAGTGCAGTTTGAGAGAGTGAAAGAGAGGGGTACAAAGGAAGAGGATTTACATGCAGAGCAATGACTGTTTGCAGGAAGGCAGCAACATTGGCCATCGCCTTCACCCAGACCGGTCCGTTGACGTTGTTGAGCAGATAAGATGATGTGTTATTTCCATATGCCCAATACCCTATAAAACAGACGGCATACAACGGCACAACACCGGCGGTGAACTGAAAGTACAGAGCTCTCATCATGTTGTCAACCACTGGCTTCCTCACTGTAGCCTGTCACATAATCACAGCCTACAAAAGTGAGTGTGGAAAGCCTTACATTGAGGGACAATTGTGGTTTTCATGTCAGCATTCTTACAAAAACTTGAACGATTGAAGCTTTTGGTACCTGTATCTCTGGTAGCATTCCCGTGTTGAATGCAAAAACAAGGCTAGCAGCCGCCCCAATTGTAGTAAATATTCTGCTTATTGGTGTCCCTGGGATGTCGTAACTCCTGGCCGGTGCTTGAAGTCCTAGAACAACATAGCTGTTGTTAACGCAAATCCAACGGTACAAAATTCTTAAAAATTCCAAAAAAGAATCTGAGATGATCCTTACCATCATTAAGCGACAGGACGAATGCTATAACAATATACATCAAGCTGAAGACTGTTGAAAACCCCAGCCAAATCCTCAGAGCTGACAAATGCGGTATCCCTATCGCGAATATGGCGCACACAAAGCCGGAAATGGCAATAAAATGTGGTAGCTTCATGGTATGGTCATCCCTAAACAGAACATACGCAGCCTGCATGCGTAGTGAACGACTACAAGTTTTAGGAAAATGAGACATTAATCTGTTCATATATGCACATAGACGATCCGATTGGAGTCAAATTGCAATGTGCTCTCACCTTGAGTGCCTGACCGGCCAAAATGATATATCCAGTGTTAATCATGAACAGATTGACATATTGCAATCCCCATGTCAGAGAGTAAGCTTTCTTGCCTGCAACCAAATAGCCCCATCGGGGATCAACACAGCCATGAAAGAAGACATCAGAAAGGTAAATTCAACAAACGAATGGCAATCAATTCTTCGATATTGGCATCCTTTTCACACGTACCGTATATAAATCCAGCAAGGTCTCTGTATCTGATGTGCCTAACCCCTCCATACTCATGGAGCTTGGCAATGAGAGCATTTGCAGAGAGTGACATTACAGTGGCTATAATTAAACCGATTACACCGCCGGTCCAACCAAGAGGAATCATGACATTTCCAGAGTATCCCAGCACATACGCACTGTTGATACCGGTGGTGAGGACGAATCCCACTTGAAACCATGAATCTGTGGAAACCAAAGATGTTACCAATAACACAATTCACAATGCTATTCGAAATCATTCCGAATTCATTCATTACGCATTCCGAAAACTATAACTTCATGAATTGCATTCTGGAACCAAAAATTGAAACTTTTTAGGAACCACATGAACAAAATTAGAAGAAAAAATGATTCATTTCCTCAGTTCCAGAGGAAAACATTGCATGAAACCAATTCTGAATTCAAAAACATTCTTGGGTTTTGGAAAACGATTGAAAAAACAATCATTTCATTCATCCAATGATCGAATTGTGGTAACAGAACAATCAAAATTATATAGAAAAACAAACCCAGATAAAATAACATAAATTAAAATTAAGAAAAAAGAAAATGAAAGAACCTGTGCTAATCTGATGAGCGGTTTCTGGGATTTCGGTACTTTCTTCATCAAAAACCTTCTTAGAACCAGAATAAGCTTCACTGGTAGCATCCATAGTCGACTCTCGATGATGTCCTTGCCCCGCCAGGAGCCACTCGGTTGTGGTTATCTCTTCCCCTTCCCCTGCCTCCGCCTCCTCCTCTGCTTCCGAGATGCAAGTAACAGCCAGCGTACCCCTACCCTTCACTTCCTCTCCCCTTTTTATAGCTGCCTCAGCTCAATTCAAGCGTTCAATTCCGTTTCAGCCAGCAAAAAGACTCACCCAATTTAGAAAATTAATTAAATTTTAAATCTTTTCAACGAATTATTCTTTTCGAAAATTTAATTAAATTCGAAATATTTTTGTGTAATTTCGCTTTCTTCATCTCCCTCCAGAATTCTTCGCCGCCCGTATCGATCTGGGCCGCTGCTTTGTTGGAGGCGCGCGCGCGGGGGTCAGATCCGTTGAGCATCCGAAGGTGTCTTATATATGCTCGCCGCGTGGGGGTTCGTTAAGATTTCGTTTTCCAGCTGCTTTCTCCGTGGGAGAGCGTCACCGTTTTGACCACTTACAGTGCGCAGTCATTCTGGTTTGTCCCCATTTTGGGATCGCACGCACAAGAAAGTGCCACGTAAGTCGTGGACTTTTGGAGCCGTTAGATTTCGTTGACGTTTTGGTGTGAATGATCGTATTTACTTTAACAATTGTGGGTTAATGCTAAGAAAACTATTTAACTTAAAATATATTCTCGATGGTTATGTTACAGAAACCAATTCTTTAGATCAAATTATGGGTTTTTTCATTTGGAGGTTAGTTATAGGAATTTATATAAAATGCGTTTACTGTCATGTAGCGTTTTAATCAAATAACGGAATGACATGTTAAGATTAATAGATACATAACATTATATTATTATACTGGAATATCATGAGCGTGAACTTATTTCATGTAAGTGATTCTTCGACGGTGGAGACATAACTTTATTACTATAATTGCACACATTACATTTCTTAAGATGGTAGAGACATAACTTTATTACTACAATTGACACATTAACACATTACAATGGGGGAGATAAGCCTTGACCCTATTGTTTGAATCAAACTTGAGCATAACCGTGGACGACGTGTATGAGAGAGATGAGCCTATGTCAGCCGTGCATGGGATTATTAGATCAACAAAGATGTGTCATACTATTTGATCCTTGGAGAAAATACCCAAGGTAGGGTTGATTTGATCCTTTGAGAGTTACTGTACAGAGAGAAATTTTAGGGTGAGAATCCAACCATATAAGATTATGATTACGTTAACTAATTCATAAGATATCTTAATTTCACTGCATCAAAATGATAGTTATAATAGCATTACATGACCATTAAATACTTACGACATGTTCAAAAAGTACGCTACCAAATTTACGATACATTATAAGTTGTAACTCATTATTATTATTATTATCATTTGAGAAGATACGATAGCGGTTTTATTCATAATTAAAGAAATCATACAATCATGAATAAGGGCATCCTGTATACATTCTGGGGGGACCTCAAACTAACAACTAGTAAAATTGGAACTAAGGGCCAACTTGACCAATTTAAGCGTCACAAAATTGATGAATCTAAGGACACAAGTGACTCTAGTAGAAGCAAAATCCCGAAGCCTGGTCTTGATGTCCTCGATCAGTAAGCCGGGATCAGAGGGATCAGTGTTGAGGCTTCCAATTGCTTGCGCCACCTGCAGTGCATCACATTCCAAAATCACTTGTAATTATTATGACTACGAACAGATTTGCGATACATTGTAAAACATGGCTTTATGTTTATTTATACAGTCCAATAATTTGAGGCCCCTTTCGGAAGAATCCCTCTAAGATTTTTATATTTCTTTTCCTTTATCCTAACATTTCTTAAATTGATGGGCCACCAACCCAACCATCTTTTTTGACATGTCGACAAGTTTAATATGATATTTCAAATCGTTCACGTAAGAACTGATTGGAAATCGTTTTCATTCAACTGTTTAGCTGTGGAAGTTGCCAAATGTTTTGAACCATTACAAAAGAGTAGGATTCGCTCTCTCCTACTCCTAATTCCCTCTCATTCCTTCCCTCGTTTTTTTGTATTTCTTTCTTTATACACAAGTTAAAGAAGATGTTGACGTGATTTAATTGTGACTGTTCAAATAGGAAGAGAATTTGAAGAAGATAGATTCACACTCCCATTATAAAACATGAAAGTACGGTGAGTAAGGAATCCTCTAGCATTATTGGTAGGCAAAACGAGAGTATGAAATGAAGAAACGATCTCTTCATGCGCTCCTCAATTTGTTTTCTTCTAAACTTTGAGTTTTAATAAATTAATGTAGAAGTAAAGGACAAAAATAAAAGGAGGACCGTGTAGAAAATGAGACAACAAAAGTACGGAAATCATCTTTATATGCATTTTTTTATCAAACATCTCTATATATTTTATCTCTTTTTCTTTCTGCTTTATTGGGTAAAGTCTCCACTTTATATTCCCCATAATTAATGATATATTCCACAAAACAAAATATTTGTTTCTTTTTATTAAATGATACAATATTTTTTAGTAAAACGATAGCGTTGATGAATTAAATAGTTAGTTATTAGGGAAATAGAGAGATTAAACTCACACCAAGTTGCATAAATATGATTGTTTTTTACCAGTTCAATATGTATCATTTGATGATCATAACAAATGACTCAATATATCAGGCTTGTTTAGGAAGTGTTTTTAATCACTGAAATCGCATTTAGACAAAATATTTTTGAGTTTCAAAAACATTTAAAGTGCTTCATACGTTTCTTGCGAGAAGCACGTGAAGTACTTCCTGAACTTCTTACAAAAAACACTGGTTATATGTTTCTCATTGAAAGCACTTTAAGTATTTTTTTAGGATTAACTTGTATTTTTACTAAAGATTAATTTCAAAATTATTATTTTTTCTTCTAAAAGCTCTTTTAGACATTTAAAAACACTTTCCAAACGAGTTCTTTAACATGAATAATTAATGATTGCATGGATAAGTCGGTCACAACTCCCAAAGCACGAATAATTGTGGCCTTCTCTTTCTTAAAACCAATCTCTTTTTTGACTGAAAATTGCAGATCAAAAATCATGGATTCTCAGAAGTTGCAAAACATTGGACAGCAGAAAGAAAAGAGGTATCGTACTCAGAAGCCCACTGCGAGTGTTGGTTAACGTAAAGAATAAAATAAAATAGGGCATCACTGCTTGTTTTTACGTGCTTTCCACTACAAATTTAGATGGTTTGAGATCCAAGTTGTCGTCTGAAATCTCGTACGACACTGCCACTGTTCGATAGATGCTGGTCCTCCTTTCCATTTTAAACGAAGTGGTCATTGTGTCGAAAGCCTAAACGTGACTGTTTATCCGAATCGCTAGACGAAAAGAGATTCAAAAATTTCAAAATCCTGGGTGAGAGAAAATGAGCGAAATCGGAATCGGTGTCAAAGCGATTAATCTGTCGTCGACGACGCCGTCGCGCCAGAAGAAGGGAGTGACAACCGAGAAACCTCCCCAGAATGCTCCGTCGTCTTCTTCCGCGGAGGACGAGGAAGGAAGTCCAATCAGGCACATTGTATGTGTCAAAAACAAGGTCGATGTCAAACACTTTGAGGACGTCGAGGACTGCTTCATCTTGGATTTCGACCCCTTTGAGCCGGTGCAGTTCAAGTTGTCCGTTTCGGATAATGGTGTTGATGGTCACGCTGGTTCTCCCGATATCGCTGTTGTTGCTGAGAAAGGACAGGTTTTGATTTTTACCAGTGACCCTTTTGATTATTTGTGTTAATTTTCTTTCTTCTGTTTGGTTGCTGGGAAAATGCAGGTGAAGAATTGAATTTGAATTCATAACCCCATTTTACATATGACCCTTCTAGGATTTTGCAAAAGGAAGGAAATTTTTAATCAATTTTCTTTCTTTGTCATGTTTGGTTGCTGGGAAAATGCAGGTGAACAAATGAATTAGAAATTGTAACCCCATTGTGACATTGTGCCCATGAACCTTCAGGTGTTTGACCTCAAAAGATTTAAAATTTATAAGAAAGTTTCCAACTTTTCTGCTTATCTGTTCATATTCCAATTTTTGTAAATTTATGAGCTAATTTGGTGAATGTCTGACGCCTCGTGTGGATTTGAATTGATGCTGTGTAGGTTGCTTGTAGAGACTATCCACATTCAAGACACCTCTGCCTGAAATTTCCTTTCGAGACGACACCCCATGAGAGCTACTGTGAGCTGGTAACAGAGCTTTACAACTTCAAATATTTGCATCTTGTGAATGTATCCCTGATTCCCTTTCTATATTGTTTAACTTGGCATCTCAAAAGTGAATTCACTGATTGCATGTAGTGCTACTGCTATGTTTGCGATTCTGCTGCTCCATGCATGTTGTGGAAACTATCACATTGCCACGCCGCTGCGCACATTGGTGACTGGAAGTGCAAAAGGATGTTGATGAAGCAGCAAGCCGCGGTGAAGAAATGAACAAAGCTCCCGTTGTTTAGCCGTATTGCGGATAACGATGTATGAGAAATACCAGAAAAGTGAACTATTGTTTTACTAGTAGGCGGTCAAGTTCATGTAATTTTGTTCATAGGGAGGGTACTTGAAATGGCTTTTGTTCTGACTCGAAGAGATGTATTTACTAATGAACTTACGATGTTGGTAGAAATGGAATCAAATTTGATTAGTTCAATTCAATTTTCTTTCTTGTTAGAATTTGCAGGATGATTAGCAAACTAAACACAAGTGGGACTTGTTCAATTCTAGCAAGTTCATCGGTCAATTATATTTGCTTCTCAATAATACGGCATACTCTCCTCAAAAAATAATTACATCATACAAGTTTTACAATTGACTCATAAAACTCTTAATATTACGAATCAGTGAATGTAGACACCATGATAGTTACGTAGGTTGAGAATTAGAGTTCGAAAAGGATATTGTACGGGAAAATTTCTGGCTATTTTTATGATAATTTATTGTTTCTGAATGAATGGTTATTAAAATTAAGTCAACATTTTCTCCATCAAAAATTATTATGGTCATTTTATGAAAAATTTATGTTAATTTGAGGGTATTGTTGTCAAATCAATCTCACTACTGGATCTTTCACAAAAGAACCAAAATAATAGATGATGTATAATTTTAGAAACCACTTCTTTTGATTCTAAATCTTAGGACCAAAGTGAAGAATTATATCAATCCGAGGGATCATTTTGGCTAAACCTCCTTTATAAAAATAACAAGTTGTCATGTCAACTGGTCACTAAAATTTGGCGTAATAAGTTAGTGTCTTTAACAAATGATATTATCTACACTAAAGGAGTGAGGGAATGTGTTGAGTCTCACAGTGGGTTAGTGCCTTTAGAATTATCTATACCTTAAAATGATTGCAATATATAAACATGTAACTTAGGCCGGTCGGCAATGTTAGTGTGCCAAGCCAAATATCTTGCACCCGAGTTTGAATTCTCCTAGTACAAGCCTTCATCCGAGCAGCGTATGCCGGATCTAAACTGGGGTCCTGATTTGTTGTTGCGTTAAAATTGTACTATCTGTTGCTGAAAGAAGTGCAACGAGAGCGGCCAATGGTGCGCGCTCCTGTAGAAACAAATTGTCTGATATATAATCAGCTTTATTTGTTGCTTCATGGCATAATTTTCACAAGAAAATATTCAACGTACCAGAGAGAGAAACCATTTCTTCTTGTGTGAAACCCCCTAAACCTGAACAAAGTTTAATGTTCATGGGGCATTGCTAAAAATTGTGTAAAAAACCACTACCCGAAACTTATTGACCACCTAAAATCTCTGGTAGCCATTCCAAAAGAAGCGTCAACAGATCCACGCACGCTTGCGAGGAAGAGGAATACAAAGTGGTTTGAACCAGCTCCAGACTTTCCAGCCCATGTTGTGGACATCCAGTCTTGCATTCATTTGGGTTGATGATGCCCAACAAGCTCACAAGTCATCCTTCAAACTCTCTAATTAACAACATTGTTTAAAGATAACTAAACCTCCAATCCAATTTAACATATAAGAGACTCATAACAACTTCTTCCCCAAGGTTCAATAATCCAAATACTCCAATGTCTTCACCAACAACGAGACATCGGACAATAATCGACAATCTCTTCGATATTGAACCTTGGGTGGAGCAAAGCTTATGTCATTCAAATTTGTCAACAATATATACTTTAAAACTGGTAATGGAAATATGAAACTTTACGTACTTGCTATATTTCACAAAATCGTGCTACATATGGTGAATGAACAAAACAGAGCCACATATATACACAACATATGTGATCATCAGACCTAATTGCATTACAATTTGCTATCAGAATTCACACCAGAACAACAGCATTCATCACATTTGTTCGGGCTAGAAATTCCAATCAACATTTCCGACATAGATTCACAGCAAAAAAAAGTCACACCTTTTAATGCTTTACGTTCTACTTCTTAACACCGTCAGCATCTTTCTCTACAACTACATTGATCTTCTCATACTTGAGATCCACAGCCATTGCAGGAAACACAGCAAGGTACACCAGAATAACAGAATTCATCACATTTTCGTGTTAGAGATCACAAACAAGATTTGCAACATACATTCACAGAAAAAAAAAAAATTGCCACGCCCTTAAAGACCTTACGCTCTACTTCTTAACACCATTGACATCTTTCTCTACAACTACATCGATCTTCTCATACCTAAAATCAACAGGCTTTGCAGGAAACTCAGCAGGGAACTCCGTGTGCCTACTGATGATAATAGCCCACAAAAACAGCACCACAAATGCCACCAGTGCTCCACACCCAGTCACGAAGATCATCCCAGCAAGAACTGTCAAAGGGCAAACCCCTTGCTTATCCATGCTCAAATTCTTACCGTGACCATCCAAATACCCCCTCGGATTCACAGGCAGAGAATGCATTGACTTGGGAACATTTCTAAGCCTAAAATTCCATGAATACACACTGCTAATCTGCGACGACTTGCCATTCGAATTTGACGAGCTAATACCTACATACACATCCTCATCTCTCCACATTCCCGACAAATCTATCCCATACGCTGTAATCGGATTATCAGGCCTCGATTCATCCACCTTGCCTAGCCTAATCTCCAATCGTTTCGAACTAGCATCATAATCAATCCAACATTTCAACTTTTCTCCACTATTTAGCACCAAATTCAATTCAGAAACATTACCAACAGCTAGAGATACAAAGCTACCAACATCTACCCCTATGTGATTAGCATTCAAATCATTCATATCTCCATTCATTTCAGTATCAAATTCAATACCCAGAAATCGATCCTCACCGTTAATCCCAAAGGGGAACTTCGCAGACAATCTGGACCCCAAATCTCCGGGAGCAAAGACGAGCAAGAGGCCGTCACCGCCGCCAGGCGTCATCGAGAATGCGAACTCGGTGGAAAACGACGCCGGGTTGCTGAGATTCCCGTAGATAAATTTAAAGGGTTTTCTGCGGAGGAGAAGACCGGAGCTTGAGACCGACGGCCGCGTAATGTTGACATAAGATCCACCGCCTGCTAGCGCGGCGTCGCCAAGGAGGAAAATTTCGGAATCGAAGTTGGGGTTGGGGTTGCTGTTGCTGTTGTTTAGGGGTTTGGGCTCGGAAGAAGAAATGGGTTCCGCAGCTAGGGTTAGGGTTAGGAAGTAGGAGGAGGAGAGGAGGAGAATGAAGGGGAAATTGCAGAGGGAAATGGTGAAGTTCGCCATTGTTGTTTGCACAAACCAGCTTCGTCTTCGCGCACTTCCCAAATCAAAGCGAATTCAGCGATTTTCTATTTATCTCCGATCAGAAAATTGGATTTTCCGTATTTGGTAAAGCAGCTTTGCAGTTTTTTTGTCCGAAGAACCCGCAACATATATAGGCTAAACGACGTCGTATAGATTTCATTCCCCGACACCCTCATATTTTATGAAGCAGAGGACGACCTCAGTCAAATGTAGTTTCTTTGGTCAAATTTTATCCACATTTTTCTTTCCTTTTTAGTAGTTTCTGTTAATTGAGGTGGCTTAGTATTAGGGTTAAAAGAGAAGGTTTAGATTTAATTCTAGTTAAAAGATAAATTTAAGCTATATTATTGCCGATTTATTATGAGGCTAAGCACAATTCTTTCTCATTTAGTATAAATAATATTGTTTGTTTAAAAAAAAAAATGTTATTGAGGGCTTAGCCCAACAAACAAGTGGTATTAAAAAGACAAAAGCCCAAACAAACCTAAACAGAAACAAACCTAAAGGCCCATTTAACATATAAATATCCAAATCTACCACATGCCCTCAACACCAAAATTAGAGTGGGTAAGGCCATCTCCAATGGGGTGAGAGTCAAAGGTCCAAAAGCCAAAAATAACATGATTTGGCCAAAAAATTCATCTCTAATCGATGGCTAAACTATAGTTTTATAAAGTCCACTAGACTATAATTTAGTCAAAGGGGCACCTGGCTAGCCAAATGCAGTCCCCTCTTAGCCATTTCTTGGGGCCTAGCTTCTCAGTTGCAATAATTGATACAAATTCAGCAACTAGATTCAAAAACACTAATGGTAGTTTAACTAAATTAACCAATAAATTTAAAGTATAAACTTAAAACTAATAAATTATTGAGGAGGCTATGTTTAGTCCCTTCGGTTGTACATGATATATGAGTATGGCTTAATACTATTCATTAAAAATAATTTTTTGCAAGACTATAATTCTGAAAGGGACTATATGTACCTTTCAGTTGGAGATAGCCTAACTGGCAACCCAAAGAATCAAAAAATTAGAAGGGCATACCTTTTCTTTTTCTTTCTTTTATTTATTTATTTATTTATTTTTATTTTTAATTAGGGAAGGGCATTCTATGGTGCCTAGATTCTGAATTGAAGAGTTGGTAATTGAAAAAAAAAAGATATAAAAAATTTGGACTAATCCTTGGATTTCAAGCACCTAAGTCATCTCTAACCGAAGAGTTTACAGGGCCAGAAGGTCGAAAATAGCCTTAAAACTGTCTCCAACTGAAGGCCAGGCTAAATGGCTCGTGGGCGCCACTGGACAAAAAAGGGCCAAAGGGCCAACCGGCGTGCCCAAATGAGCTAGCCAGGCTAAAAAATTTGAATCTCAACGACTAACTGACGTCAGCTAACTGTTATTTTTTATTTTTTATTTTTGATAATTTTTTTTGGGCGAAAAATGTAAAAAGAATATTTAATTAAGGCCTAGAAAGGTAATTGGTTTTATGTGGGGATGTTGCTTTTATAAGCATGTTTGATTGCTCAAACTTCTCCCACAGCTTATGTGGGACAAATATAATGGGTGCCACACATGCAAGCTTTTGCTTGCTCAATTCTCTCCCGATGTGGGACAAATATAATGGGTGCCCCAAATATAAGCTTCCTATTAAATATGGTAAATATGCATTTATACATTTAACTATCTCAAACTAAGTTGTACTAGTAATTGGACACTTCAATTACAAAATTAATTTAACATACAACTGTTAACCGTCGCAAGTAAACATGAAAGCGGCGCCAATTACTACGACAAAGTAAGTGTTTTCACAATTTATTTTAAATATTTAATTATATTACATTTAATTTAAGTTGTCATAGTTTTTAAATTTAAATAATAAATTATGTTTGGCCCTATGGCTCTATGGCCCTTTGGTCTTCGGTTGGAGATGGTTTTTTGTGACAGGGCTAAAACGAGTCCTATGGCCCTTTGACCCTCGGTTGGAGATGGTATGAAATATGGCCCTGCACTGTTCATTAAAATATTAATTTCTTAGAGGGTCAGATGGCTAAAATGAGCCATCTAGCCAGCCTTTGGTTGGAAATGGCCTAACTTTGTTGACTCTACTTGTGTTACTACTAATGTTTAAAATTTCTTTCATACGGTTGGACATTTCCATGAAAATATCCAAGGAATTCAAGAAAAATATAGAAATGGAGGATGAAGTCTAACATTCACCTCATATTAGAGAAACTCTTGAGTTTAGGCTAAATCGACATATATCGTCGATATTTCTAACACGTTTGTTAAATATTGGAGAAACTTTTATATTTCGTTCAAACCAATGTTTAACAATCTCTAAAGTTTCATTTTAAATTTTCATCATTTCTATGGAAAGCAACCGATGTTGGAATTCGACATATCTATCGATATTTTTACAAATTTGCATATCGATGTTTTTACCAAATATTGATATATTAAACACTGGTTACTACAGAGGAGATTTAACACTCAGAGTCATATGTGGTCTTACGTGCCAATATACAATTGATTTGGGATATTATGCTACACAATGTTATAAAGTCATCTCTAGCCAAAGTGCTTTAGGCCACAATTAACCTTAAAATTGGCAAAATCAGTTTCCAACCAAAGGGTTAAGGGGAATCGACTAAAAGAATTAGGCTAAGTTTGGCCTCAAAGCAGACAACATGTAACCCCATGACAGGTTAAGTTTAGCCCAAAAAATTAATAAAATAGGAAGAAAAATAAATAGCTTAAATGATTTGAGATGAAAAAAATTTAGTGCTAAAGTAGTCCTTAAAATATTAATTTTAAGATCTAAAACTTAGCCAAATATAAGCTTCCTATTAGTGATGGTAAATGTGCATTTATACATGTAACTATCTCAAACCAAGTTGTACTAGTAATTGGACACTTCAATTACAAAATTAGTTTAACATACAACTGTTAACCGTTGCAAGTAGACATGAAAGTGGCGCCAATTACTACGACAAAGTAATTGTTTTCACAATTTATTTTAAATATTTAATATATTGCATTTAATTTAAGTTGTCGTAGTTTTTAAATTTAAATAATAACTTATGTTTGATCCTATGACTCTATGTCCCTTTGGTCTTCGGTTAGAGATGATTTTTTGTGACAGGGCTAAAATGAGTTATATGGCCCTTTGACCCTCGGTTGGAGATAGTAAGAAATATGGCCCTGCACTGTTCATTAAAATATTAATTTATTGGAGGGCCAGAAGGCTAAAATGAGCATCCTGGCTAGCCTTCGGTTGGAGATGGCCTAACTTTGTTGACTTTACTTGTGTTACTACTAATGTTTAAAATTCCTTTCATACGGTTGGATATTTCCATGAAAATATCCAAAGAATTCAAGAAAAATATAGAAATGGAGGATGAAGTCTAATCTTCACCTCATATCAGAGAAACTCTTGAGTTTAGGCTAAATCGGCATATATCGTCGATATTTCTAACACATTTGTTAAATATTGGAGAAACTCTTATATTTCGTTCAAACCAATGTTTAACAATCTCTAAAGTTTCATTTTAAATTTTTATCATTTCTATGGAAAGCAACCAATATTGGTATTCGACATATCCATCGATATTTTCACAAATTTGCATATCGATGTTTTTACCAATACTGATATATTAAACACTGGTTACTACTGGGGAGATTTAAGACTCAGAGTCATATGTGGTTTTATGTGCCAATATACAATTGATTTGGGATATTGTGCTACACAGTGTTATAAAGTCATCTCTAGCCAAAGTGCTGTAGGCCACAATTAGCCTTAAAATTGGCAAAATCAGTTTCCAACCAAGGGGTTAAAGGGAATCGGCTAAAAGAATTAGGCTAAGTTTGGCCCCATGACAGGTTAAGTTTAGCCCAAAAAATTAATAAAATAGGAAGAAAAATAAATAGCTTAAATGATTTGAGATGAAAAATTTTAGCATTAAAGTAGTCCTTAAAATATTAATTTTAAGATCTAAAACATAGCCAAGGACTACGTTTAGCTCTCCATAACTGGAGATGACCTAAGAACTTTTTGACCGAGTCATTTAGCATATGAGCATGATATGTGCTAGCTCATAGGTTAACTATAAGGCACCAAACATGAAAGATAATAATGTGTGGACTCGACTAGTACAATTAGGACGGCCATATATCCTACTGTGATATAAATTTCCAAGTTATTTGATAGGATAATTAGTTGTTTTCTATGATAGATTGAAAACCTAATCTTGCACCTACAGCATCCCGTTATATGGAAGTTTTTCTCCATTACGAAAAATCTGTAGCTCTTCTAACTAACCATTTGTCCACGCACTAGAGCTCTACTTGTTCATTTTCTGCCCTAGATTTTCATGCAGTTTCGAATTCCTTCTCCCTGCCTAAAGTGTGCACTTATTATTTTGAATAATTCCTTGTCGTGCAATTTGAATTTCATCTCTCTGTAATTCCAAATACAAGATAATACTTCCATTCTTTTTTCATATAGAAAATGGGGTAGCTTTGATAACAACTTAAGGTTAGTGTTCAACTTTATAAACACATCTCAATCAAATCCCCCAAATATTGAGGCACAAAGAAGAAAAAAAATCCTCAAGATCCCCAATACATGGCTGAAAATCGAGTCCCACAAAGTGTAAATATTAAAAGGAGGAAAGTTGAGAAGAAATAGGAGTGGAGGGGTTTGAATTTGGAGGCAAGTCAAGGGTTTTTGGGTCCCTTTGGTAGTTGCCTCAGCAAAGCAACATCCAATTCCTTCCGATGGATTGAAAAATCTTCAAGTGTGTGGGGGTTTTGTTTTGGCACTTTGTGTGTCCTTGATAAAGCTTTGTGTAGTGCAAGAGGGAGACAGTTGGGGTACATATCTTACAACTCAAGATAATTTGTACACACACGACACTCACGCACACTCTCTGGTGCCCCCAAACAAATTCTTCTTCTCCCACTTTGGACCCCATCTCCATCTGCCATTTGAATTAGACCATTCGTTTTAGAGATATGGTAAAGATTTAGATGATGATGATGGTGATGATTACTATTAATTACTATGATGATAAACAATGATGATAGTTAGACCACGCAACATATTCTACTTGAGAATTCCCCAAACTAGATTTAGGAAGCTTCTGTAATCAAGGAAATTCTTTAGGGTTTCTTCATTATTGACAAATTCAAAGTGAAAGCTCATCATCTAATTGTTTAATAGTGCAAGCTAGCCTCCTCAACACTACAAAATATGTAGTAAAAGTAACATTTTCTTTTGTGGAGCTCATTATCTTTCACATGCACATTATATTGCATAATCAACTGTGTATTCTATGAATCTACATATCTCTTTTAAAAAGAAACAAAATATACATAAACTGACTTCAAGGATGGTTGACGCATGCTTGAGTCCAACCCACGTTATAGCTCTAACCCACCCCTTTCCCATTCCCCTCCCCACACCCCAATTTTGGGTGTGAAAACCATACCTAAAGGTATATATAATCAACGTGTACAAGACAGTTTTCAGTAGACAATTTTGTTATTTAAGTTTATCTATTAAGTTAATAACAAGGAAAATAATAATTAAGATGGTGCAAGGTTTGGGATCAGGTGACAAAATAAATCAAGTACGCCGGAGTATACTAGAATTTACACATGTGCCGTATGAGTGTAACAAAATCTGCCCCTTATTTTAAAATGAGATAATTGGTTAAAAGGACTTTTATACACTAAGGTCTCATCTCATCACATGTGGATGATGCCTTTGCCTTTGCCTTTGGTGCACTCAATGTGAGGCCCAAAAGTGGGGAAAAAGGGAAGTCGTTAAGTTTATAAATCATTTCTCCACTGCCTTGGATTCTAATTAAAGTCCTTAAAAGCATGTGATTTGGAGTGTCTGAGGTGGTGGAAATTGCAGAAAATAGTTAAAGTCGGCATACTTACAGTAATGGGTTTCTCACAATTTGTCAATTTGATCGTCAAAATAAAGTTACCTTTACAGAAAGGTGAAGTCAAATGTTGGAAGTAGGTACTGCAACGATCAAAAGTTTCAGAGATTAGGGTAAATTGTAACCCAAGACATCACCTCGATAGCTTCCACTTTTATGCTAATCATGATTCATGAACAGAAGAATCAAAACTTACCATCAGTTTCTTAATCCAGAAACTTATGTCTCACTGCAAAGCAAGAAATTTCGCCAGGATGAGCGAAATTTTATTAAAAAATATTCACCATAGATATGTAATCTAGTATTATAACTACATATAAAATTAATCTGTTTTAACCTATCTTTGTTCTAATGTAAATGAGATTAATTAACATCAAAGACCCCTGTAAACAACGAGAGTAACATAATCAATTGATCGTCTTCCAGAGTTGATTTCAGCTGGGTTTTAGCATCCAGCTATATCCCTAGAAAATCAGATCGAAAGTGTTCATATGGGATTTCGGGTTTGGTTGATTTATAGCTTTCCTTAATATTCTATATGTAACACAACAAATAATTACATAATTTAAAAGATATTTTGGAAGCTATATATGCAGAAAATTATCCGCAAATTATAATTGAAGAAACAACACAGATTAATATATACAAACCTAAAATTTTGACCAAGTTAATTTCAAGAATAATTTGGATAGAGGAGAGGTCATAATTAATCGTCTATACCATAAAATAGATTTTCGACATAATTGAAAGACATATGTATGGTAGAATCATAAGTATAGAATGCAAAACCCTAATCGGAATTCATAATTTGTGCCAAACTATGAGGATGTGCATGTTTTTATTCCAAATCAATGAAAACATTCAGATGTTGGCTGCTGAAAACAAGATTTTGGAAGCTCCATCTGAGAGAGAGAGAGAGAGAGAGAGAGAGAGAGAGAGAGAGAGAGAGAGAGAGAATAAGAGAAGATATATAAAAGTCTGAATTACCTCAAGGCAAGAAATTGTCTAGTTTGGCTGAACTCCTTGAACCTGTAAATAGTCATTGATGCATGCTATATAGCTATAAGTTTGAAGCTTCCAAAGGAGAAATCCAAAGGGATAGCATGATCCAAACCAAATGATGGAAAGAAATAGCTAGCTGGGATCAATGCGATCCCTTTGGATGCCTCCTCTAGTTGCAATATACGAAACCAACCCAGCGCTTTGCTTCCTTCGAAACTCTCTCCCTCTCTCTCTCTCTCTCTCCTGCAGAGGAAAATGGAATTTGAGGGCGCCTTTGATATAAAAGAGGGAGTGAGTGCCATAACCTCTTCATCTTCCCTGTTACTATTCATATATCCGTAAGTGAATTATTATTAGCACTTCAAAAATCTTATTTAACACTTTAAACTTTCTATAATTAGAAAGACAAATACACTTATGAGGAATGTAGAATGAGATTTTTTGAATGCTAATAATATTTCCCTATCGGTAATACTAGGTATCACTAGTATTCTCTACACACACTTTTTTATTTGGCCAATAAAAAGATGTCACATGTTTCTGGTTTTTTCAAAGTTCAAGAAAAATTAAATAACTTGTCTGTTATTTTTTAAATAATAAAACATGTGTTAAGATATGAGTGGCCAAATCAAAGGGTGAATACTCACTAATGAGTACTTGAATATTATCCTAAATATATTATTTTTGTAATCAAAATAAGTAAATAATCAGAAAAAGAAAAGATATTTACTAATACGATTTAATGATAATTTAATTATTTGTAATTGAAATTGGAAAGTCTTAGATTCGACTCTTAAAAAGTGAAATTGATACTAACTTATTATGGGGTTTAACTCAAGTTTAAATTCTTTGATAAAAAAAAGAAGAAAAAAGAAAAAAAGAAGAACTCAAGTTTAAATTTCATATAAATAAGTGTCATTTTCAAATTTCTATCAGTGAGAGTTTATGAATAACAAATTCTGTATTCAAAATCCATTGTTCTTTTAGGTTAACCAAACAAAAAAATTAACAAATTCTAGAAAATAAATTTTCGTCATTAATCTAAAACTTTCTTCATCTAAACATAATGGAAAGATTTTTTTTTTTTTTGAGTACAATGATATTTTTACACTAAGGAGAGGAGGAGTTCGGCTAAGCCACATAATGAGTAGCCTAATTTGATATCGAATTCGCTATCTACGAGATTCGAACCGAAGACCACTCACCTTCAAGTAAAGATTTAATTTCAAGAGTATTTATTTATTTGTACAACTTCTCAAACAAACCAGACATTTGGAAAAGGTTTATATGCGTTGTGTGTCCGCGATCCCACATTAGAAGTCCCCCAACAAGTTGGTACAATGGTATTTATTTATGGTTTAATTTCTCATATATTCCCTCATCTAAATCAAGGTCTGTGGTCCAACCATGTTCCCCTCACACACCTACTCCTTTTCTATGCCTTCGCAGAGTATTAAACATTCATTTTTTTAACTGTGGTATTTAAATTATTATATTCCAAATATCAGTCAATGATATGACCCTATGATTGATTCTCAAATTAATATGGAAAAGAGATCATCTTCACATAACTTCCTCCTAATTCATCAAGTACAGGAATCCGGATCATTAAAATTTAATTCAACGGCTATAAATAGAGGCCCACTTTAAAAATTATAAACCTTTAACTGTTGGATCAAATTTTAGTGATTCGAATTTCCAAACTTGATAAATTAGGTGAAAGGAATCTAAAGATGATCATTTTCCATTAAAATGTATTAGCTAGTGGGATCCACGAAGTGTGTGATTTAGTCAATCAAGGCACCAGTTTTCCTCAAAGACAATCAACGATCACATCTTAGTTTCCATAAAAAAAAAATAAATAAATAAAAAAAAATCAAGGATCACATCTGTGTATTATTGTCAAATGTAATTCTGTAAAATCATGTAAAATATGTGGTGCCATAGATCATTTAAGATAATAAAATTAGAGAGAATGAGTGATCTAATATAGAAAAAAGGAATTAGTTTTTTAGATTGACATAAATTTTTACTTTGATTCGTACAATAAAAATCAGTAGAAATTGTTCATGAGTTTGCCTATCGTAAATAATTATAGTTATTCTGTGAAAATTCTGTCAAATTCCTCATTAAATTATCATGTGAGAAACCACGTGACCATTTTTTTAAGTGTATTTTTGTCACGTAAGAGACCAAGTAATCAAAATGATTTATAATAAACAAACCCAAGAACTTCTGCCTATTTTCATTTAGAGTGAGGACTTATATCAATCTCAAGATTATTTTAGCTAAAAAAAAAAATCACACAAAAAATGTTAAAGTAAATTTTCGTGCAAAACTTCAAAATATCCTCACTCTTTAAGAATTATGGTTGAAATGTTGGAAACCTTAGTGTTAGTCTAATGAAGTTCTTCCGTTTAGTGCCAATAAAAGGAGCATTTACCAAACCAAAAAGAAACGAGATAATAAAAGACACAAACGATGATTTATTCAGTTTTATTATCTTTTCTTCAGACACCAAAGTGCGAGCAGGACCATTACTACGCAGGCCTATAAATGGTGCACATGGATACGCACCACAAAATATGGTATCAATCTCACTAACAATATTGATTAATTTCTTAGCCGTCCACTCACCATAAATATACATGTAATGCTAGGGAGATCAAATTTAGAGATTAAATTTGTAAACTAAATGATGTGTCACTAATAAGAATAAACATGTTTATTAACGTGTAAGTAATAAACCAATCAACTTCTATATTCTTTAGTTTTCAAAACTTTGTCTACAAATTTAATCTCCTTTGCATTATTCTAAATATACATGTATAACTATACGAGCTCCTCCTTAAAAGAGATTCCGCTCCACTATTCACGAAGTGAATTTGATAGTATTCTTGTATTGCATGTATGGTGAATATGTAATGTCTACATATATAGCACCCCTTGTACTATAAAGCTAAAAATAACAAAAACAACTAGCTATAGACAATCATTATCTCGTCAATACTTCGTTGCTATACGAGCAAAGCAACAGTACTATGATATTCGATTGTGTAAATAGTAAAGTAGGAGTCATGCTGAGAAGCTGGTTCTATACATTTATATTTTGCAAGTTGTATATGATAAGAAATGAAGTCCGACTATTGAATTTTACATGTTATATATGTTATAACATAAAATTAACTTCCAATCTTGGTGTATTGCTAATGCAAACATGGCCACCCACCACATGAATTTTTTGCAAGATTGATTTATGGATGGGGTCCTCTAACCATTATCGATCTTCAGTTTGTAAAATGATTATGCATATATATATATATATATATATATATATATATATATATCTATAAGTGTGTTATATTAGTGGATTTTCACCTTTTTCCTCAACCCGGCAGCCCTTCCAAAACTTCTCACTTCTTAGTTTTTAGTTCCTAACTAAAAAGTAAGAAAAACTTGTAGTACCAGTGACTTGTAATCCTCCACAAATGGTAACTATAGTGCAAAACCTAAAAGGGCAAAACACCATATTCTAGTGGTTGGCTAAACAGCTAATCCTGCTGCTACAGAAGTCATCTCGGCCGTTCAAAATGCAGGGGCTGCATCAAGATTGCTCAGTTGACCACTCCAGATCATGGTGGATGGTGCTAGATCTTGTCCATGCTAGTGAAGCAAATAGATGGACCATAGCCACAGAGCAGGTTTGTCGATGGTGCTATAGCGGCTCCACCATGCATGCATATATATTTTACCTTCCCACGCATAATGTGAAAGTGGGGTAATTTGTGGTTGGCTTATACTGTCTGATGTGACTTGGAAATAGGGTTTTGGCTCACCATATGTCTCTTGTTTGTAGGACACAAGAATTATTATCTCTCAGGCCTTGTAACCCATCTGCTGGATCACCACGGGAACTTGAACGAACCTGTCAATTGGCTACTGCTGCTGCCCTATATATTTCAGATCTTCATCTCGCCCATCCCATGCATGCGGTATTATTCATCGACCAAGGGCCAACAGCTTCCACTCACACACCTTTTTCTTTTGTTGAATTCACCAAATGGAATTTTAAGTGAAAAATATAATCTGAAAAACGATTTTGCATACTAGTTCTCTCATTTAGTATATTCACAACAGGGATGTTTAGCAGTAGAAAAAGTGAGTAAAAAACTTCTCAGTATAAGTTTGAATCTAAGATCATGACGACTTTTTCCTCCTCCTGTATTTTTCATGTATATACATATATATATGTGTGTGTGTGTGTGTGTCTATATATATAAGGACTTAAAACGGGGTCATTTAAAATCGTACCTTTGGAGGTCCTACACAGACTACCCTCTTGGCCCTTATCTACAATTCCTTTAATTGTTGGATGTGGAGGGTTTGGACCACAGCCATTAGCACCATTATGAATACACAAGATGAGAAAGTTTCTGTTTTCCATCCATCAATTGTACTAATGCGTATGCACAAGAAGAAAACATCGATCAAAATATGTATGTGGTGTGGTTATAGAGAAGGTGTGTGATTTTTTCTTGGAGAAATTAGGTTCTTATTCTTATTTTTTCTGCTTCATTGATTAAAACCTTATTCCTTTTCAAAATTTGATTAAGGTCCTTCGGTTTAATAAACGCCATTAATTATTCAAAAACAAAATATTTACATGTAAAGATAATTAAGTTTTACTTTTAAATATATTCATTTAGTGTTAGAAACGTTACATTTGATATATTATATTTATGGCTAAACTTTTTATCATATATTTCTATTTCTAGTTTGTACCCATTTTTAATTTGCAATCATTTTTTATATTGTACAAATTTTCTTTTAAATTTTAATTTGTACCCATATATTAATTTCTTTTTGTTCCTTATTTTTTTAACTTTTATTTGTACTCATAATTTTTTTAACCTTTTATTTGTACCCATAATTTATTTACAATGTACCAATTTTTTTTTTTTTTTTACAAATGTACACTTTGTTATACGTAAAATGTATCTCTATTTTTTTTGTAAGCACCATTTTTTATGTAAAATAAATCCATTTTTTAATGTAAAATCTATTTATTTTTAAATCTAAAATGTACCGTGGTTTTTTTTTTTTAAATATAAAATGTACCCATTGTTTTCTATATAAAATGTAGCCAAATTTTATTATATAAATGTACTCATTTTATAAGAAAAAAAAATCGAATCAAATCCCTTTTTTTTTTATTATCTAGAATGCACCCATAAGCAATTATTATTATTATTT